GACGCGTTTGAGCCGCCGCCCAGAAGTACTCTCTCGTGGGCCGTAGATTAGGTACACTATAATAACTAACAATATTAGTTATTGATTAAATTATTTGTATATTATAATATACAAAATATTATTAACCAATAATTTTAATTAATATGTTATTTTTCAATATAGTAACATCTATTAATGATGAAGAAGTTGATATTACAAATAAAGTAATAGGCTGGTTAAATGATACACCTTCAGTGAGACCTGAATATGAGAACTGTAAGTAGAAGTATGCAATTTGTTTTTTTTTTTACAAACTATATAATTGTAATATTTTTTTAGATGATTTAACATTAGAAACCACAAATCAAAACGAATCAAATGGATCTACACATTTCATTGAACTAGTTCCTATGGAAATTACCGATTCTAGTGGTAAATACCTAATAGTTTTATCTTGATCTCATTTTTATATAAACTTTATATTACACAATATGTATTTTAATTACAGAAACTGAAGATTTTGATGATAGCGTGAAAGACAAGGATTGGAAAGAAGAGGAAAGCTCAGAAATATCATCAGAAAGTTCTGATGAACAAGGTACCATAAATGAAATTATCAATGAAGTCTGTGAATCAGCTATAATATCATTTCACATTGAAACACAAGAGAATATTATTCCAATTAATAAAAACAGTAAAAAGAGATTAAAAAATATAAAACAGTGGAGTAGGAATGTGAAAAAAACTAAACTAAATTTAGGCGAGGCTTATATAAATAATAGTGGAAAACAAGTTAATCAAAAGCAGTTATTATCCCCTTGTGATGCTGATAAATGCAAATTTAAATGTGCCACACTATTCACACTAGCTGAGCGTTCAAATGTATTAAATATGTTCTGGAAAATGGGAGATATAACTTCAAGGAGGGCTTTCATCATTAAGTATACTTCACTAGTGACACCTAAGTATAAATATATTAAAGAAGTAAGTAAAAGGCTATCAAACAATGCATTTTTCCTTCCATTAGATGATGTTAGTAAAAGGGTATGCAAAAAAATGTTTATGGCCACATTATGTATAAGTGATAAATTCATAAGAACTACTATAAAAAAATCAGGTGGTAGCAATTTTACACTAAATGACCTAAGAGGGAAACATGATAATCATAGATCATTAGATCTTGAACTTGTAGCTGGAATACAAAATCATATTAATAGTTTTCCTCGAATTGAATCCCATTACTTACGAAATCAAACTTCTAGAGAGTTTATAGATGGTTAATTGACTCTATCAAGTATGCATAATTTATATATTAAAGAATGTGAGGAAAAAAATATATCACCAGTCAAACTTTCAACTTATTCACATGTGTTCAACACAAAGTTTAACATAGGATTCTATGTACCCAAAAAAGACCAGTGTGGTTTATGTGAAAAGTACAATAATAGTTCTGATATTGAAAAACAAAATTTACAAGATGAGCTTGAAGCACATAAAAATGAAACTAAATTATCAAGGTTTGAAAAAGAAAAAGATAAGAAGCTAGCTAAGGAAAATACTGAAAAGTATATGGTGTCTTGTTATGATTTGCAGAGTGTTCTAACTACTCCAGCTGCAAAAATATCAAACTTTTATTATGCTAGAAAATTTGCCACCTACAATTTAACTGTATATAGTTTAGGCGAAAATGAAGCCAATTGTTTTGTTTGGAACGAAGATCAAGGTAAAAGAGGTGCCAATGAAATATCTACATGCATTTACAAATATCTCATACAGAATTGTCTTCAGAAAGATACTATTTTTTATTCAGATAACTGTTCAGGTCAGCAAAAAAATAAATTTATGATTAGTTTGTACTTGTATGCTATTAACTTTCTAGATATTCTTTCTATTACCCACAAATTTTTGATAGTAGGACACACACAAAACGAAGGGGATTCAGTACACTCTACAATTGAAAAACAAAAAAATAGGCTACTTAGAGGAGGGTCAATTTTTTCTCCCCTACAATGGCCTACAGTCATCCGAACAGCAAAAAAAACTGGAAAACCATTTAAATAAAACGAGCTTACACACACAGATTTTATAGATTTTAAGCAATTGAGTAAGGATATTGGTAATAATTTTATTAAAGTAACAAAAGAATTCCCAGACAGATTCTTTTATAAAACAACTTATGGAGAAGCAGATTTTAAAGAAATTATAGTTTTAAAGAAAACTGGAAATTCAAAAATAAAATCATCAAACATCAACTTGAAATTTGCATTTTCTGAAGAGCCTGGAATCACACAGATTAAAAAAAAAAGACTTAATTTCATTATGTTAATAAAAAAATAAGCAAAGCTTATTCCAGATACTTACCATAGTTTTTATAAGAACTTAAAAGTGTCTGAAATTAATAATACTAATAACAACGAAGAAAGTGATTAATTTATAAAATTATAAATTATCTTTTTTATTTTAATTTATAACATTATACTCATCATAAGGTTATGATAATTATAATAAGTAACGGCTTTTTTATTTTGTTATGTTTGATTAATATTTTGTTATTTTGATACACAAAAATAAGTTTACTAACTTATTAGACAGGTAGTCATTTTTTTTATTTTTATTTGATTAATTAAAGTTTTCTTTAAATATGATTAAATACAACTGTTAATTTATTTAAGGATATTTTATTATCATACCTATACCATTATAATACCATTATAATAATACAATAATAAATCAAATTTTAAATTACTAATAAATAATATAATAATATAATAATATAAAAATATTTATTAGTAATTTAAATTTCAACACAGTCGCGACATCGCAGCCGTTCAGTGCACACGCATTTTACGCTAACTCCTGTGTCGCATAAATTAAGTTACCAAATCCTAACGGATTTTCACCGTGTTTCTTTCTATCTATTCACATAAAATTCGCAGTTCCAAAAATGACGACTAACTCGTAGCTGCTGCCACTGCCAAACTCTCCAGAGGATAGTAATTATTATTTTATATTATTTTACGCACACACTTTACGAGAACCACTCTTCTCTTCTATCAAAATAAAATCCAGTCCAATTAACTCTTATCACCTACTTCCAAGGCACCGTCGATACGGTGACCTTTGGACTCTAATTAGATAGCTCGGTTCGCACCATGCCGGCGGACTCACGCACAAAGCCAGATAAAACTGTTACACCAATTAAAATTAAAAATAATCAAATTATATCTAGAAACAGTGGAAATTCGACAA